CTTTTCTCATGTAGTTTCATAATGTCGAACTCTATTTATCAGGCCATTCTAAAATGTGTGCATACAGGTAAAGACCAATTCCTCAGTTAGAGTTAATTCATTGAAAGATAGCTGTCTAATATATTTTTAACTGAAGTATTTTTAATCTTACATAATACTGAATTTTTGGTTGGGGGTAGAGAGAAAGAGACAATTAATATAGAAAATGTTCTTTGTTTTGGAATAAATTGATCATTTTCTTAATAGAATTCCTGGTGGAAAAAAATGTAATAATGTGTTAGTATTCAACTTATTATAGCATTAGTTTTTCTTGGCAGCAAACTTCATAATCATACATAAACTGTTTGGACTTCACCTTAATTTATTTTGTATTGCTACCATATAGAATGTTTCATCAAATAGAATGAATTATTTGTGTTTTCACTATAGAACGATTATTTTAGATTATTATTTTTTAAAACTACATAATGCAGCATCATAATAGTTGAAGGCTTGTGAGATAAATTTATTCAGCATTTCGGGGTTTCAAGGATCCATAAATCATTTTCAGAATACTGTGTATCGAAGATTTTTCCCTCTCAATCAAAAGCTAATCAGATGAGATGTACTGAAGGAAATCTACGCAGGCTTCTCAATATGAGGTTTTTCAATGCCCCATTATAAATCCAAAGGAATCCAACTGTCCCTGAAGGCTTATTACAAAAATGAAGAACAAAACTGTGAACAAAGAAGAAAACATTAATTTGGGCTCAAGCTGTTATGACTTAGTACTGCAATTGGCCTCCTAAATCAGTAGAAAGTCACTAGAATGTGATTAAAGTTTAAATCATTTGTAGAGTGATTTTAATAAATGAAAGTAATTAAAACATAGTTGATTATTTTTAAAAAAAACAATTTTAATTTGCAGATACCTATACACCTATTACTATAATAGGAAATTAAAAACAAAAATTGAAGCAGACTTTCCGTTACCAAACGGCTCAATTAAAGTACACATCTTTGTTTAACCAGTCTATTTTGCCACACATGAAAGAGCCACTTTCCTGTTCTTAATGCGATTATTAGATTTATAGTTCACATGAAATCAAAATTCTTTTATTTAAAAATAATACTAAATTATTATTTACTTTAGCCAGAATTAGTGGACCCGTAAAGGCAGGAAGTGAGAAGAAGGAGGAAAATGCTCATGCTCCCAGATAGTTGAAGCATGATTTAGGGAACCAGAAAAGTATAGTCAAATTAGTCCAAGGAATGTCAGTTTTTACTGTTCCTTTTACTATGTAAATCAGCACAGTAAACTCTTGATTTAATGGACTAATAGTAACAAGAATGATTTCTAGACCCAAATATATGTTATATCTGATTGTATTATGCATGTAATTTATGTATGACAAAAGGCAAATGGATTTTAAACTCTTCGCAATATGCATTTATATTAATTTAATTAATTAATTAAAATGCAATGAAATAAAAACATTTAAAGTTATTTGATAAATATTGAGAATATTTATTTTCATTTGAACAAGTTTGAATGAAATTCTTGGAAAACCTTCTAATTCATCATCTGGGAATTACAGGAGTGAAAGTTCAGTACATTTGGAAAGATTTAGGTTGAAGAAAAGCCTTCTATTCTAAGCCTAAGCAAGTTTTCTCAGACTGAACATTAATCAAATATTTCCCTGCACTGCTTTTCTGTATTAATGCTAATATGTTTTCATCTGCCCTTGACAAACGCAACATTTTTATCCATGGTGACTATAAACTTTTATGTATATTTTTGTTTTCCTATATTGGAATGAGTAATCTTGTTCCTTTAAATGTCTCTATTTGATATTTTTCTATTCTGCATTGTAGAGATATGTATTGTGCATCAAACTGACCTAAAGACATCTGTCACCTTCCAGTTTTTCTGCCAATCTAATTATAGGGCTTGTTGCCTTAGAGACCACTTGGCTCTATCATTTAAACAGCTGGTTAAAATATATTCTTGCAGGAGAAGGTTTGGTAGTCTCCTGGGAGAACAGCATTGACCATAAAGTTCCATTCTTACAGCTTTCCTGAGGATTTATTTTTACCTTACTATCTGATAACAGTGAAAGAACTATTAGACACACGATTTGAGTCTTGGGTCTTCAAAAGACTCAAAGATGGTGTTGCTAACATTTATAGCCTTGCTTCTTATCTCTTACATAAAATTATCTGAGGTATCTTGTGTCTTGACTCAGTACAGTACATTACTTCTACAAGTACTGGAATAATCCCATTCAAAAATTATTGTGCCAATGTGGATAAGGAGATGTAGAGTTAATAGCCTATATTTCTTTCTCCTATTCTGCTTATAAAGAAATTCATGCATTATGAATTATCCATATAGGCAGGGATCTCACATCTGACATGCTTTATCTTTGATAAGGCCAAAAATCAACTGTTTTCCTTAATACTGCTGAATTCTGGGCTTTGTTCATGGCATAATAAGTGATCAAAAGTTAATTAATGTTTAAAGAGGTTTAAGACCAAAGTTTTATTTTATCTAATTTATGTGACTGGTATTTTTACTTTAAAAATACATTTTCATACGTGACTTTAATTTAAAAATGGAAAAGTAGCATGTGCAAATCGAAATGGCAGAGTTTCATCCTCATTTTTATTTCAAAAAAGATTTTAGGCTTCATATAGATCTCATCAATGTGCCTAAACATATAAGAAAGTTGAGCCTCCCCTAGAAATGTAATAATTAAGTTGAGATTGGTAGAAAACATAAATAGTGCAGCTAAAGATTTAATGGGCAATATTCAGCTGCCTTCTGCTAAACATATTTTGTCATTGAACATGCAGCCTATCATAATAATCATTTTGTGAATAGTCAAATTACATAATATGCTCTGAACATTCTGAATGTTTCCACTAATACAAAATGATTTCCCGCCATTGCTGAATTGGTTATAAAATTGATGCCATACATCAGTTGTTTTTATTCTATTGTAGTAATGAAGTTACTAGGTCAGGTGTAAGATTCTATTCCTCATGGATAAATTTGGCCGTAATATAGCCCACACTATGGATAAAATAAGAGGTAATGAATGCTGTCCTATATACAAACTCTCATTTAAGTAGATGCAGTAGATGATGAATAGAAGATAGACAGACAGATAGATAATGATATAAATGCATTTTAAAAGGCATTCCAGTTATCTTCTGCTTTAGCTACTGTAACATATGCAATAACATTGCAATTTATTATCTTTTCCAATTGTTTCAAAGTATCTTTGTTAAATCACTTGTCCTTTTTAATTTGTCATACAAAAAACTGTCAAGTTTTTAAGATGTCTTTTAAACTGTCCACCTTCTGGATTTAATGATAGTTTAGTTCGCCTCATCAATAAATTTAAATACATGATAACTTGTATACTACATATCTAAAATACATTTGGAATAGTATGTAACAATGTATTAATTGTAATAACTTGGTGGCCCAGTTAGGGTACATAGGTTTTAGATAACCTATTGATATTTTATCACAATTAACAGACTTCATTTCTTTTTGCTGACTTGCAAGAATTTATAAGCATCATTAGACAAAGTTTAAAAAGAAAATCATAAATGGTAAGCCAGAAAGTTAAAGGCATGAGTTAATAAAAGTAAATAAATTCAGGCAATTTAATGTATAACAAACAACACATTCATTGTTACCTCCACACCCTCCATTGCTGTCAATGATATATTTCAACCATGTGCTTATAATCCTTCATACAAGATCTTTTTTAAAAAACACATATTTCTGTTTGTTAAAAACCTCATCAGTTCTATCCAAATACCATGTTCTTGGTCTTCCTTTTTCTCCTTCTTTTTCCTCTCATCCTAGTCACATTTTATGTACAGTACTTGCTTTCTGATTTTGGCTTTATATATTATCTAGATATAACTAGATCACTCCACGTTTCCTTAAGCAGATCACTTAACATTCATTCTTGATCCTTGACACACACAAAAGCTTCATTCTAACCGTTCAATGTACTTTTAAGTTTCCCCTGACATATCTAACTCTTTCTCATATAACAAAGTAGGCAGAAGCATCTCTTATATCTCTTTTCTCACTTTTAATGATATTCATCATTAAAAGACTACATTCTACCCACTACTAGCATTTTCACATCTTAAAATTTTTATAATTATAATGGCTTAACTCTACCATTTGAATCCAAACAATGTTACTAAAACAAATTTCATCTTTTTATTTATTTTTCAAATTTATATAGCTGCCCATCTCACAAAACAAATGATCCTGAGCAGCATACAACAAGATGATAAAAGATCTTTGTTAGAAAATGATGAAATCGTTAATTATGATAAAAATTGTTAATTTCTAACTTCCTTGCTTAAGACTGTCTTAGACAAACACAGAATAGCCTCTGTATTCTTTATTCAATATTTACTATTTAATTTATTTGATTTACAGTCAAAGCTACCCAAAAGCTAACTGAGAGTAATTTTGTATATAGCAAGTAATAATAAATGGAATTGAGCACAAAGAATGAAGTATCTCATCAATAGAGGGGAAAAAAACCAAGAACAAGAATCTTCCTTAAGGCTATTACAAATGACCAAATGTTTTTGTTGGAGATTGTATAAATCTCTGTTTCCTTCACAATTGTAAAGATAGACCCTGTGTCTGCTTTGTTTTGATGTATTTCATAATACAATATACAACAGCTTATTCAGAAAACTTCAGAGAATAATTAATTTCAACAACACTGTCTGTAGCATTAATCAACGAAAGGTTACCATCTTTTACAAGGCCTATTTTCTAGTATTCAGTAAATTGAGTTTTAAAAGAATTCCTATAAATGTGTGACAATACGTTTTATAATACTTTTCCACATTCATTATAAAACTGATGAAATTCTTTATGTACATAAAAAATATTAGCCATCTATCCATTAAACCTGAAAATAGGTTAAGACTTTATAATAAATTATTTGGTGTCATGTCTTACCTTGCAGTACTGGGTACCAATGTATTTATTATTCACCTGAAAACACTGCCAAGGCAAGAGAAGTTCTCAGTAACATCAATCAATTACAGCCTCTCATTTCAACTCATGCAGACATGCTACTTAATTCAGCCAGACAACAGTTGCCAGAAAGCTTGAAGAATTCCTTAAAGATGCTTTCAGAAACTGTAAGTTTCAAAAAATAATCCCTGCTGTGGAAACTAAATTATTAGATGCCCAGATATTGCTATGGTCTGTGGAATCTGTATGAGGAACAGTTGACTTGGTTACAAGCTTCAGATGATTATCATATTTTTCTCTTCCCTGTTTGGACTGTTATTAAGCAATTTTATGGATATTAAACTTGATGCTTTTAATATAAAACAGACAAGTCTGTATCATATTACATTTAAACTAGCAACTGATGAATAATAAATCATTACTATTTTTGAAGAGTGGGAGCTCTCATTTTTATATATATCATTATTAGTGTATTCCTCCCTATCTTTATAATTTATATATTTTATTTGTGCCTGATGTATTGTGGCATAACCATAAAAAAGGAAAATTAAACTATGATGGAGAAACTACTTTTAACTCTCGTGTTATAACTTTGAAGTACCGTTTATTGTTAAGCACATTGCATACCCATATATTTTGTTTTATACAAATCTTGGCCTTTTCTGTTTTATCCACTAAACAGAATTTGACATTTTGAAATTCAGACATCTTTTGGTTTATTGGTCTTTAGAATAAGGAAAAGACAAAATGCAGAGCCTCTAATATACTCATTTGCCAGTAACTTGTAATGACATGCATCATATTTTAATGGTATGAAATTATAAATTTGCATTTGAGATAATGAAAATCACCTGGACTAACAATCATTGATAATCTAATGCCTATTCCCCATTAGTTAATATATCTGATGGTATATGATTTCTTTAAAAGATCAATTATGTGTTATGTAAAGGAATGTTTCCATTTACTAGTTATGAATTCCTCCAGATTTCCAATTAATATTTCTGAATTATTAGAGTAAAATAAGGAAGAAAATTTTCCTATTTATATTTTCCATATCAACCATTTTATCTACTTTTAATATATCCCCCACTCATGTTTTCATTATGATTAATTATTAAATTTATGTTAAACCTAACTGCACACTAAAAATCTCAACCTGTACAGGTTTTTTTTTTCAGGAAACTTCTCAAGGACTTTATATGATTTTGGTTGCTATTTCCTCCAATTTATCATGCTCTACAGCAACCTTTTAATATTTTTGAGATGTAGTAGCCAGAACTATACAGATAGTCCTCCACTTATTACCACAATTTAAGTAGAATTCTGGTTGCTAGGCAATGTGGCTGTTAAGGGAGCCATCACATGACTGGACCTAATTTCATAACCATTTTACTGCAGTCGTTAAGTGAATTATTACAGTCATTATGCGAATCACATGGATGTTAAATGTATTACACATTCGTTATGTGATTCATGAGTGTTAAGTGTATCACATGACTTTGTTTATTGGAAGCCACCTGGCAAGGTCACAAATTGTGATCCCATTGACCACAAAACACTGCAACCAGTTGCAGTCATTTACCAAGTACCCAAATTGTAACTATGGGGTAGTGCAATGGCTATAACTTTGAGAACAGGTGTCACTTTTTCAGAGGCCATCATGATTTCAAAATGTTGTTAAACAAATGGTGGTAAGTTGAAAACTATCTGAATACTGTAGTTCAAATGCAGTCTTGTTATGCTTTTGCCTCCATTTAGTTCCTTATGAGTCTAAATATTTACTTTTTTTGACAATGACCACACAAAAGATGTTTTCTTGACTCTACAACATAAATATTCAAAATAAGCCTCACTGAGTTTGATAGTGTTTATTCTTATGTAAAAACAGAGATTTTAGTCTTAACCTTCATAATATCCATTGGGTTGTACAAGCTTTGAAAAAGATTTTGAAGAAGTACTTTGGACCTTATGTAAGATCAGCACTCTCATATGTCTGGTTTCCATGCAAGCATGAGAAAAAAATTCAGTTGTTTTAGGAGGTTGACATTAAAGTGAATGCAACTATTAAAGCAAACACAACTTTTTTCAGTGTCTGAACAAAGCTAGTAATGAATAGCAGAGTTATCCTGTGCTGATGAGAAATCCAAAACACTTCTAAATCATGTCTTGAAGCATGAATAGTCCCAATTTTCATACATAACAAAAATTAACATAAATAAAAATGAATTGTAGACTAGGTTCTATTTCTATTTGTATCCTGCCAAATTGTGTTTAAATTAAGTGAACTTTCTTAGCTATGGAACAGTGTACAGTGGCTTGGTTCACATAACTCATTTAAGTTTAGAGCCATGATTTATAAGCCACAATGACAGGGTTCACACAGCACAGATCCAGATTCAACAAACCTTATAGAGTCCGCATGAGAGCCAGAAGAGTATATTTTATTATCTTAGTTCTGAGACTGCATTGCCTACCTTTTGTTGATTGCACACTCATCTTAATTTTAGACAGAGTTATTTGTGCATGCCTTTAAGGATCAGCTTATCAGAAGTGCCCTTTTAGCTTTATACACAGCCCGTCCTGGTTGTGTCTTAAAAAAACCAACTTTGCCAAGGAATAGCGCTGAAGAGAATAGTGAACAGGAAAATCAGGATCATCCATCACAAATCAAGAGACAGGATTCCATACCTCACCACTCAGAATATGATGAGGAAGAGTGGGTAAGTAACCTCAAAATCCCATTTTTGCTTTCTACCTTTTATTCAATTGTAAAGTATTTGTATTTAAAGAGTTAGCCATATCAATAATACTGGATTCTTGTGAGACTGAAGAAATAATTGACAGATTTTTCATGAAGAATGTGTGCTTCAGGTATAGTATGCTTCATGTAATGTTAAAGTTAACTTTTATTATGCCTTCATTAACATATTCATATTCAGTAAGTATTTTAACTTGAATGCTGATACCGTACACTAGTTATAGTTTGCATTTTTTCTATCACTAATTTAGAAATATACTGTGAAGAAAGAGGATTTCAGCAAGACTAAATACATATGGTTCAGAACTGTGACAACTTTTTCTAATGTAACATGCAGTATTTCAAGGATTACTAGTACTTCTGTACATTAAACAAAATACTTTATTTCATTACAACTTCAGTGGTTTATCTTTACTCATTTTTATTCTTTTCTTCTTGCATATATTCTTTTCATTATTTTTCTTCTGCTCATCAGGAGTTGTCTCCTAAACTCACCAAGCTAGTTATTACTCCAGTGTAGTTATTACTCCAGTGTTCTAATCCTCATAATTTTAATATATGTACACATATACATTTCAGAATTGTGAAGTGAAAGCTGGCCATGAGGTTTCATCTTCTATTCCAGTAAAAAGCCAGTTAAGCAAGAAAGATCCAAATATTGGTACTATTCTGTCTCAGATCCAGGAAAGAAATGTAAATAGCTTCTGATCTACTTTGAATATGCAGAGGGCTTGTAGTTTTGTTTTATTTAAGTGGTTTTTCTTCTTTACAAAATAGCATACTAGAAAATCCTGTTTATTTCTTCATTTTGTATTATAAAAGTCTGTTTAGCGTTAAATTAGAAGAGTAAATACAGTATGTCCTAGCATACACATTTGTTTGTCTTATTTAAATCATGCTAATTCATTTTATAAAGTATAGTCTGAGCAGAAGTTCTTAAGCAGAACTATTTCCAATCCTCTCTCCCTTTCTTTTTCCACTAGCTAGTTGTCTTTGAGATTATTTTATTCTGGACACATTCACTCTCCCTATTTCCCTCATTACACTCATAGTGTCTATTTAAAAGTAAGTCCCACTGAGTCCACAAATACACTAACATCTATTTTCAGATTTCAGGATTACATATCATAATTTTGATTTGTCAAGATTGTAAACATGTCTTCATAATAGTTTGAAACGTATTTTGAAAGACCATCACTCCACAGATATTTATAGTTTTCTATAATAAGTGAGTTTTTTTTTTCTGCACTTGCTATTACCAATGGGTTCTAGCTGGGCCTGTTAAGTTACAGCAGCCAATGACATAGCAAATGGCACCTGATGTCAATTGGCCCAACAGCTATGATCCTACTGAGAAGCTGAGGTGACTGAAAGACTCTCAGGCTTCAGATAGACTGTAATGATCAGGAAGAATATATACAGATGGAAGAACACTATTAATGCTCTTCAAAGATGAAGAAATAAATGGAGACCTGAGTGGAAATCACTATTCTGCGCAGAGAGATTGGATAATCATATCACTTTGGGATCTGATGGACGCAGGGTGAGGAGTATGTGTGTAAAATAGAAGCATTTAGTAGAGGAAGTGAACAAAAAACAAAAGAAAAAAGTTTGTGGGAAGTGAGGGTAGAGTAGACTTGTTTGAGTAGATTGGTCTACTTAGATATGGACCAGGATTATGGGATAGATGAGAAGAAGTGCTTTGGGCATAAGGGCAGTTTTCTCTGCTGTAGAAGGGATCTATGAGAAATCTGGGGAATAGAGGATAACAAGAAGATTTTTCAAGAGACTTATAGAAAGAGATGTATAGGGCAGATTGTTCCAGGGGAAAGGCACCTTACAGATTGGTTCTAGTCACTACTTTTAGCTCAGTGTCCCAGTCTAGGTGCCCAGAGTGGCAAAAGTATTTGGTCTGTAAGTACCAGGATTATTGTTGGATGATAAATCTTTTATCCATTATTTACCATAAATAAATAAATAAGCAGACCTATATTACTCTATATATCTTGGACTATATATCTTGGAGACTATTCAGAAACTGAAATTAAGTCATAATGTAGTAGCCAAACCTAGTGAGTGAGAGCTGCTATGTAAGCATAAAACTAACGTAAGCTGTGCATTGATTACCAATTGACTTCTGGGTACAATTCAGAATGCTGATTTTGACTCATAAAGCTTTATGTGGTTTGGCATCCACTGTCTCAGGACTAGGGGTGTCTGTATTGACAATTACTGGCTTCAAAGCCCTGTGCTTTTTAATGTGTATTATATGCCTAGTACACATGTAAAAAGAATGGGATTTGTTTATCCAGTTTTTTCTGCCATTTAAAGCCAGTGATGGCTACTTCCTATGGCCCTACTCAGAGCCATCTACTTCAGGTAGAACATAGCCACTTGATCAGCACTTCCTCAGTAAGAATATTGAAGATTACCTCCACTACGAGATTTGGCAGAATCCCTAGAACTTCCTTTCTCAGAGATCTGGAACACAATTCCAGATATTCAGAAAATGGAGCAATTCCATCAAACATTTAATATTAAAAGCCTTACTGGAAGAAAACTTTTGTGATTTTAATTTAGTTGTGTAATATATTATTTTATTTTCTATTTTTGCGTTATGTTGATTTCAATATATGTTGTAAATTGATATGAGCCTCTTAGGAGCGCAGGCATATAAGGAGATAAGATATTAAGTACGGTAGTCCTCACTTAGCAACAATAATTGGAACCAACAATTTGATTCCTAAGCCCTGTGGAAAATCATGTGACTTCAATTTAGGATTTTATTACTGCCTTCTCAATTAACTTTGCTTGTTGCAAGCCAATTGCAAAGCATGTAAATGGCAATAATGTGACCGCAGGATGCCGGACAACCATAAATTGCAAACCTTGATCTCAAGTTATACAGTATTTTTAATTTTTTAAAATTGAATCTTTAATTCAAATAGACACTGCACACATGGTTTTACATTTGCCCTCTATAATCTTGAGACAAGCATTCTTGTCAGTATCCTCTAATTTTATTTCCCTAGCAACAGTCCTTTAGGTTTGGGGGAGGGGTTGATCCACTGACCCTGGACGGCTCAGTGCTTGAATGGGCACTTGACTTAGGTCTTCCCAATCCATGTCCAGAACTTTAACCACCATAGCTAACAAAGAACTGATACCAGGTGAATTAAAATGTTCTGCGATTAAATCACAGAAACAATCTTCTGCGTTTTAGGGGGACAATCTTGTAAATGCAAAAATAGCATATAAGAAAAAAAACCAGTTTGCTTTCACATTTTTGTTCATAAGCAGCAAGGGGACTTAGTGGATTGAAATCTAGTTCTCTTTCTTCATTTTTCTTCCGTAAACAGAATAAACTTAATCTCGGTTTGCATTTTGCTGACCCAGAACCTCTCTGCTTTCCTGGATCAGATTAGAAAATCCATTTGCTATGGCAACAGTAGCCAGAAGAATACTCATTAATATTTTATCAGCACAATATCACTTTCTACATTTGTTCAGTTTTCTTGTTTAAATGTAAAATGTATTCATTTACATCAAAGTTGCTGTATGATATTCAGTATTACGATAAAAACAGTAAATACGTAAATACAATATAACAACAGAGAGCAGAAAAAATTAAATAGCCAATTGTCCTGAAGGGCATATTGTTCTCTTTTTTTCTCCCCAGGGAAAGCTAATCCAATATTCAGTAAATTAATAACTCAGCTAGTATTTTCAGGAAATTTGACATAAGGAACTTTGCCTGGCAGAGGTATTGTAAGTGTTCATATTGAATATTACTCTTTCCACTACAAAAGCAATTAAAATACTAACAGGTGATTAAGATTTATTCTATATTAAGCTGCTGAGTAAAATATAATTGCTAATAGCATCCATTTTGTAAGGAGGGTTACAAAAAAAAATCACATTATATATAATGCAAGAATTTGGTGGGCACCAAGCTGCTTGGAAACCACAGTTGTTTATTTCTGATTAGGTAATGTGGCTGGTTGTAAAGGACTGTTTGAACAGTAGTCAGCAAAACCTAAAGCTCATCTTGACCAGACTTAAGATGAGAGTATTTGTTAAAAACCTTATTCCATATTTGTTTGTATTTTGGAAAATGATGCATATGATTTGCAGAAGCTGTACTTTGAATATAGCCAGTACTTCAAGTAAACTTTTCCATAGCAAACTTTTAAAGATCAATAAGGTATCAGCACTTTAAATTAAACTCAGAAGCAAATGAGTATAGTAATCAATGGGGCTGATAAGAGAATTGGTATACTCTGCTCTGAACACTAATACAAAGGTACACTGGGGAGTCCTTCCTATTCTCTGAGCTTGTTTGTTTTCTTGCAGTCATTTCTTTCCCCAACTAGGTAACATCATCAGTGCGAATTAGTTGATATGACCTAGTTTGGGTAAAAAAACATCTGCAAGAAAACAACCAAGCTCAAGGAGTACCAAGGTCCTCTCATTTCAATCCTGAGCTACAAAAATTTTTCTTTATTGGTACAAAGGTATGCTTAATTAGGATCACCATGTTTGGGCTGCAAAAAACACATGACTTTTAGATGACAGGATTTAAAACTGTTATTCTTGTTATCATCTACTAGTTCTCTTGAATTTTTGCTACCATCTGTTTGAAACAGCACCGTAGATCTGGTAAGCCAATTTTCATAACACTATTACAGCCCTAGGATGATAAAAATGCCACTTTTAATACTTAAATGCTCTAGAAGCATTATTTGTTCTAATTAATACTAATACATTTGAGGGACCAATTCATCTCATTAACATTTACAATTTGAAGCATTTAAACTTTATGATTTTTTTTAATTAAAGAGAAAATGTGGAAACTTAAATGTATATTTTAGCTGTTGCATTTCAGAAATAAAATATAAATTAATCTTAAGTTTATGTTTAGGTTTACCATCATTATATATAAGTCTGTTCTCAGACTTATATGCAGTTACTAAATACAATATGGAAACATATTGCTGAAAGTTACTTATCATCATTGCCATCATCATTATCATTATTTCAGCTGCAAATGTACTGGTTTTTCATTAAAAAAAACCAAAAATGATAGAATCAATTTTTGATCATATAGCCTGGTTTTTATCCTCTGTACAGTCAAAACATTTCAACTAAAATAATATTTCTTCAAAGACTTTTCTTTAATCCCTAAAAAAATGTTAGTGAGGTTTGAGTTGACTTAGCATATTCTTAGAATAATCTGGAAAATAGGTGACTTTGTTTCAGCCAGCCAGAAGAAACACTAGAATTAATTTCAAATGGATAATATAGCATTGTGTAATCATTCAAAGAAAATAAACTATTCATCATCAGCACCAAACATGGTTCTTTTCCTATTTGTTTGTTTTTTACATTTTTATCATTCATTAACTTTCCTTTTATGCCTGACTAAACAGCCCATCCAGTGTGTCCATTTAGAAATATTCCAGTTTCGGCCTTCCAGTTTTGCGTCACTGTGAGACGGGACACAGGAAGGCAGAGCTCTGCCTTCCGTGTCCGATTCGTCCTGCTGGGGCCCCTGAAAAGGGCCTAAAGTCATCCTAAAGAGGCAGTGAAGAAAAAGGGATGCCTTGTCAATCATGGAGAGGCAGTGGTCTCTCCATTCGATCCAAGGAAAGCCCTCTAAACCGACAGGGGAAAGACTGGCCACACCTCTGCGGCCGGCCATTAGGTGCTGATAACCGAAGAACAAAAGCTTTAATTAGCATTGTAAACTGCATGTTGGGACTGGGTGAGAATATTGATCCTTTCTTTACTATTTTACAACTGAATTTCCTGGGAAAGGTTCTCAAGAAGCTTAAAACCTCTCGATGTGAACGGAAGCAATGTTTTAAATTTTATGTGGACAGAAATACACAATATTGAAATGACAGTAATACAAAACTACAGTTTTGATCAATCTGAGAACTGAAATAATTATTAAGATTTTTTTCTTTGGAAAAAAAATTACTGAGGTGAAATATAAGAAATCAACCCTTTGTGTTAAGAGTGGAAAATGGACTTTGATTGACATCTAATGGTGGATTTGAGTACAGCACTGTAACTAGCTTCTTGGCTGCTTGGTGACTTTCAGCTTGGGAGAACAGCTGGCAATAAAGGAAAATATTTTGCCATATTTATCATCCTGACTTTCTTGGACTATAAATAGCTACTGAGCTTGGATTTTTAATCTCAAGAGCTAGTGAGAGGGAAAGAAAAATTTGACTTTTGAATTCGTCTGGCTGCAGGGAGGTTGAACATTTTGAATACTTGAAACATTGTGGATTACAACCTGTCCTGACTGATAATTTTCAGGATACTTGAGACAAAGGATTACTATAAAATATTGCTATTAGGACTGGATTATAAAGGCTATATACAAAGACCAGAAAACTAGAGGAAATTTTGTTCCACTCTTACTGAGTCTGGTGATACTAGAGGATATTAAAGAAAAGACAAACACCTTTCAGAAGGAAATACTTTCTATATTACAGCAAATTCATCAAACAATTGTTGCACACAAAGAGGACATAAAAAGAAACCATAATGAGACTAAAAATAACCTAGATGATATAAAGGACCAAATTGAAGCTACAACTGGAAAGCTCCCAGACAACGACTACAAAGTATGAACAAATAAATCAGAAATCAGAGGGTGAAGCAGAAGAAATGGATCTAGAGATGGAGGAGATAGGAGAAGGAAATATGAACTGCCATACACAAAATACTGCAAGACCTACCTATAACAATGAAAATACAAAAGACCCTTTATTCCTTCCTCCAAAATAAACCTGATGACAAGGAAGAAGATTCTAGAAAATGGAACATAGAGCGGGCAGGGGAAATGTCTAGGGCAGTGGTTCTCAACCTTTCTAATGCCGTGACCCCATAATACAGTTCCCCATGTTGTGATGACCCCCAACCACTTATACATCACCAGGTGCCAGGGGCGTGGCCAAAGAAAAGGGGGAAAAATGGCGGACAGCCTTGTTTGGCGACCCCCGTGAAACGGTTGTTTGACCCCAAATGGGGTCCTGACCCATAGGTTGAGAACCACTGGTCTAGGGCAGAGGTCCCTCACCTTTTGGGCACCAGGGACCAGTTCCATAGAGAAAGTTTTTTCTATGGACTGGAAGGGGCATGGTTCTGTGTACTGCCTGCATCTCACGGATGGGGCTTTGCTTGTTTATGCAGATCGGTTGCTGGTATGTTGCAGCTAGGTACCAGTTCACAGATCGGGGGTTGGGAACCGCTGATCTAGGGAATGTAGATGGGGGAAGTTCCTCCCCCCCAAAATACTCTACCTAAATTGTCTTTCTCATGCCAAGCAGCTTTCACAAAAATAGAAAGAAAATTCTTGGGCAATTTAATTGCCTTGGCCTGGAAAGCTGCTTGGCAAAGAAAGAAAGCGATAGTTAGACTTAAAAAAATAGTGGATTTGATTTATCATAGGTGGCACTATCTGTTTAATATACCTGTTTGAATATGGTTAAAAGAACGGATGATCCTTAGATATACATAACTAGATTTTTATAATGGAAGATTTTTTAGTTCTAATGATTTTTCTTCTTTTTTTGATATGGGAAATTTGAAAATAAGAGGAGGATTGGAATGAATAAATTTTTTTAGCTATATAAATGTAATAAATATTGAGAAAATCATAACTGACAAAGATACTTTAAATATTGATGGGAAATCAAACTTAATAAGAACACAAAAAACAGGATATTGACTTATGAATTGATATTATTGTTATTTCTATAATAATAAAATATGATGAAGATGTTTATATCTAATTTTGTATCCATCAACAGTACTAAGAATTGTAATTGTTTAATGAGGGGGGGAAAGGAAAAATATGGGGAAGAAAGGAAGATCAAGGAAAAAATTCTGGATTGTGCAGTACTGAATAAATTTATATTGAAGAAGTTAATGTTCAAAATGTGAACCAGACAACGTTAAGATGATATAAGATGATACTTTTATCCAGTATATCAGAATCTGTATTTATATCTACTGCATATCTATTTGGTCAGCTCATGACGGCAAACATACTTAATGCCTCCTATTTTCCCCACAGCAGCAACCCTGTCAGCTGGGTTGGGCTGAGAGTGACTGGTCCAAAACTACCCAGCCAGTTTCATGTCTAGAATCCATAGTCTCTTGGTTTCTAGATCAGCATCTTGGCCATTGCACCAAACTGGCTCCCATAATACAACTCTTCTGCAGTTAAAATCTGTCACATCTCATTTCCAGGCATTAAAACTGTATTCTTTGCTTACCTGAAAATGGGATAAATATGTTTATTGGGCTTGTAAAATTCTAATTGCCTTTTGTAATTTTAGCTGTAAGCTCCTAGAAAACAATTGTTGTGTGTGTGTGTGCACGCGTGCGATTATGTGTGTATATTCACATAAGCAAAATGTGTATGCATGCATAAAATACCATGTTCACACAGAAATGTTTAGTATTGAGTAAAGCTTTGTGGTCAGTTCTATAAGTTTGTTATGCACATGTAGTTCAATTTGAGGAAAGTTACAATTGTCTAAAAAGAGATCATGTTTATGATTCCAGTGTAATCTTGTAATGAATGATTGGAACTGCATAAGGATATAGGAAACAACTTACATAATTTAACTTAAACTTGTAAAAGCTGAACTCAAGAAGATCTATGCCAAAATGCTTTAATACAGTACTAATGTATATTAATATATCAGTATAGACACAAAGAATCAGGATCATTTGTAAGGTTGAAGCATGGAAGATTTATTCAAGTCTATCCACAAGAATCTGATCAACTAAAGTTTAACACTAATTTGGTACTAGATAAAGGTCAGTGGAATTCAAGGGAGACTAGACTTGAATGTCTTATGGCAATGCAAGGACTCTAAATTGTGATGTGTTTAACTCCACCCCCAGCTTTCCCTGTTCTTACTCTATAGCACCATCTTAAATTATGTAATATTTTTATTCTAGAATTATTTAAAAATAGCAGTAAAGATCTATTTAAGATTGATTAAATGGGGGACTCTGTTCTTTGGTATATTTCTTTCATTTCACTTGTTCTATAATATACCACTATAAACTAAGCAATTATACTTTTTCATGCAACTGTTAATACTGAGTAATGATACTGATATTTTTTTCAGGATAGGGTGTGGGCCAATGTAGGGAAGAGTTTAAACTGCATTATTGCAATGGTGGACAGATTGCTTGAAAAGAAGAACACTCCCAGCATCAGTAAGGAAAATGAGAAAGAACCTTCATCAACATCTCACATAAGTGGTAAGGAATGCATTTTTATTGTTGCAAAAGAAAAATAAAATAAAATGGTAAAATCAGATAGTGCTGACAGTCTAGTTCTTCACCTTTTACATTAAAAGGCTATTTATCAGATTATGAATTGGTAGCATAATCTGATATTGCTTGAAGTTATGAATTTGACACTTATCTCCTCTCAGTAAACTGCATGCTGTTTTCAAAATAAAGGTATTAGTATTATGATTAAACATTGGGATAATAGTTCTGAAACTTCTCAAAATTAGTGACCAGTGGAAAGGATAATTAAATTTCAGAACTATAAAAAGGGCATGAAGACTTGAGGAACTGGCCTCTGTATTATCGCAGCTACTATTTCTAATATCATAATTTATAACTTATTCTGAAGTATGTCCCCCTCTTAATTCCATGGAGTATAGTCCAATGTAAGGTTTTAGAAGATTAATATTTTTTCTGTATTAACTAAGAAATTAAGAAAGATGGATTCCAATTCTTGAAAAGAATTTTCCTAATAAAAAGGGAATAGCTAGTTTAAAATGTGAGAAAAGGTATGACAAAAGATATGAGAAAAGGAGTGAAAAATTGAAATGAAATAATATAATAGTGTGATATTGAAACTAATGAACTGAAAATGATAAACTGAAGAATATGAAGGAATGCATGAATGGATGGCTTTTAAATGGAAGGAAAGGAGCCTGAAAAGCAATAACATAATTGCTCATAGCCAGAATTTACAGTTGAAATAGTGAAGAAACGTAAGAGTCATGAAGAAAATTAACAGCTCTAGAAACATATTGACAGTAAAACCAAAAGAGAAAGATTGGTTTGTGAAATAGACAATAGGTCTCAGGGAATACAGATTAGAATGTCAGAGGTGCAAAGTTAGTGGCATGCTATATAACACTATTAATATAAGCATAAATGCTTTGGTCCAATTAGCTTTATAGATAAAATTGCATGACTAATTAATTGCTGATACCTGATATATGACCACAAAATACTTGATTTTATTGAGCAGCTTTTTAAAGAGCTGGCATCCATAATCTGCAGGTACCACTAAATTATGATTGTTTATTTGGAACAGTCATGTTATAAGCAAATATCTCTTTTGTGTCATCATTTAAGATTTATATATTTATATTAGACTCTAAGTTACCTTGGTAAAAGATGAGTTGAATGCATTCTATAATGAAAAAAGTCAGGAACACATTAAAACAGGAGTTCCCAACCTCCGGGCCGTGGCCCACTATCAGGACACGCCCTATTTGGAACCAGGCCGCACGAGTGGTGGGCTGGCAGACACATGCAGCTCCACTTGCGCAAGCAGCACCCGAAAGGTTTCTCTCTTCTGTGAGTGGAGGCCTGGTTCCCCTCTCCCTCTCCCCAGGCAAGCAGCCAAGCCACCTGCTCCTGATGCTCCCAAAGCAGAGCGATGAGAGCAAAAACTGAGTGGAACAAGCGCTCCCTGCTCAGCTTTGTTGACTCCATGAGGCTGCCTGTGCAGGACAACTGATCCTCTTTTGGACCGCCAGGCAGCCTTGGTCGGTCTGAAGGAACATGAGGCCGTGCCCCCAAAGGCTTTTCTTCTCCTCACCAAAGCTTTTGCAAATGCACAAAAGGCTTCGGGAGAGGGATCTTGCACTGCTTCAGGCCTTCAGTCCCTTTGCAAAAGCTTTTGGCATGAGAAGCCTGAAGAAGCACGAGACCACGCCCCAAAGGCTTCTCTCTTGCGTGAGTTGGATGCGCTCTCCCCTGCCCCCAGCAACAGTTGGAGACTGCTGCATTAAAGCATCTGGATATTTATTCCAGACCATTATGTCCAAGACTCCTGTTTTCCTCCATAAAACTCTTGCAAAATGACAACTGTGAGACCTATTAAACATATTTGCGAAAGAAATCAGCTTTCTACCATTTCACCCTATCCCATTTGATTATGAGCTTGACTGATGAATATTTTGGTTTGGGATGTGCAAAGTTTTTTTTTTCAAAGAAATGTTACATTTTTTAATAAGTGATAATGAATTATTTCAAAGTTCCTCTGCTGATGTTTCTGTGATTGCCTTGATGGTATGCTGGGATTATAAACAGGGATTGTAACAATCATAAATACTTAGTAAAATCCTCCTCATGAAAATCAATTAATGCATCTGCAATAGCAATAAAAGTGCCAGGCAAGTTTTTGTTTCTACCAGAGTGAAACAGTTACATGTAATTATTATTCACATTTGGACTTTTCTGCATTTTTCATACAAACTGGGGAAGAAGGTCTTTCTCCCACAATTGGGAATAAAAGGATTTTATTCATATCTGCTGAAGCAGCTAGGGGGATACAACATAATATAGAATACCATGTCTCCAGATAAATAACTTTCACATTAATTTTATATTATATTATGAATATTTAGCAATATATGAAAAAGAATAAAATAATACAAAATGTCTACACTCTGTATTTTACTTTGCTTATCACAAAATTCTAGTTCTTAAACATACTTAAAAATATTAATGAAAAACATCAGCCTTGCAAATGATTCAACAGGAAGTACAAAGAAATAAAATATTCCCTTGGTTGTTTAATACATGTGTATTAGATTGTACAACTCAGTAAATAATATGTATAGCTAAATTAATTATCAAAAATCAAGATTGTTACTTTTGTCAAGAAATATGACAAGTAGAAAAGTAGTGGGTACTATCATGTCTGCTGGGAAAATGACTATACGTGCTTCTATCCATTTAACATACAGACGTGTGCGTTAGCAATGTCTGTGAAACATAAAAGTACAATAAATGCTATGGGAATAGGTTATTTAAGTATGTGTGATAAAATAAGTGAGATCATTAAAAATGAGTGAATGTGGACTGAATACAAATGTGAATGACAATTATGAAAGAAAAATATATAGCTGATTTGATCATGTAGAAAGAATGAATATTGATCTCATCATAAATCAATTATATAGTATAAACAATTGAGAAGAAGGAGATGGCTGATAAACATATGATGGGCTTTTCCAAAAGGGAAAAAAGAGAACATATAAAAGGCAAAAGACAATGCGTGAAGCGGTATGAGGAGGCAAGAGGTTTTTGCCAGTAGGAATGGGAGTAAATTATTTTCAGTTATATTTACTATTTTATTTTCTTGATAGTTTCAGTGATAGTAACTGTGAGACCTTAGAGTCCTAGTGGACAATCACTTAAATATGAGCCAGCAGTGAGCTGCAGCTGCCAAAAAGGCCAACATAGTGCTAGGCTGCATTAACAGAGGGATAGAATCAAGATCACGTGATAATACCACTTTACAATGCCTTGGTAAGGCCACACTTGGAATACTGCATCCAGTTTTGGTCACCACGATGTAAAAAAGATATTGAGACTCTAGAAAGAGTACAGAGAAGAGCAACAAAGATGATTAGGGGACTGGAGGCTAAAGCATATAAGGAACGGCTGCTGGAATTGGGTATGTGTAGTTTAATGAAGAGAAGGACGAGGGGGGACATGATAGCAGTGTTCCAGTATCTCAGGGGCTGCCACAAAGAAGAGGGAGTGAAGCTATTTTCCAAGGCGCCTGAAGGCAGGACAAGAAGCAATGGGCGGAAATTAATCAAGGAGAGAAGCAACCGAGAACTAAGGAGAAACTTCCTGACAGTTAGAACAATTAACCAGTGGAACAGCCTGCCTCCAGAAGTGATGAATGCTCCAGCACTGGAGGTTTTTAAGAAGAGACTGGACGGCCATTTGTCTGAAATGGTATAGGCCAGGGTTTCTTGCCTGAGCAGGGGGTTGGACCAGATGATCTCCAAGGTCCCTTCCAACTTTTTATTATTATTATTATTATTATTGATCAGTGCACAGTCAGCCAGATGTTCAGACTGGATTTGGCATTTTGTCTACCTATCGAATCCTTACCCAGGACCTGGGATAGGCAGATGTGGATGTTTGATGGTATTACAGATATCGTCGCAGGATGGAAGCAGTTCCTAATAAGGCTGCCTTTTGCAATTGACTAATAGCGAATTTTGTCAATGCCAATGGTGTTCAAGTGGTGCTCCAGTTGTTTTGGGATTGCACCCAAGGAGCCTATGACTATTGGTACTACCCTTGCTTGCTTTTGCCACAGTCTTTCTATTTCTATTTGTAGGTCTTTGTATTTTGTTATCTTCTCCAGTTCTTTCTCTTCTATTCTGCTATCTCCAGGCACTGCCACGTCCACTATCCAGACTTTTTTGTCTTTCTTATCGACAATTGTTAAGTCTGGGGTGTTATGTTGCAGGTGCTTGTCTGTTTGAATTCTGAAGTCCCAGAGCAGTTTAATTTTATCATTTTCTATGACTTTCTCTATTTTATGATCCCACCAGTTTTTGCTTACAGGCAAATGATATTTTTTGCAGATCTTCCAATGCACCATTGTTGCTACTTTGTCATGCCGCTGCTTGTAGTCAGTCTGTGCAATCTTCTTGCAACAGCTTACCAAGTGGTCCACTGTTTCTTCAGCTTCTTTGCATAGGCGGCACTTACTGTCTGTTGCTGTCTTCTCAATTTTGACTTTGTATGCATTTGTCCTTAAGGCTTGGTCTTGTGCAGCCAGAATTAGTCCCTCGGGCTCTTTCTTCAATTTTCCTGCTCTTAGCCATTGCCAGGTTTTATTATTATCTGCTTTCCCAGCTATTTTTTTCATGTATTGGCCATGTAGTGCTTTGTCTTCCCATGCCTCTATTCTGTTCTTCATTTGGTCTTTCTTGTAGGCCAGTTTGGTCTCTCCAGTAGCCAGTAAGCCTTCCTGATATACTAATTTCAGTGCATCTTCATCATTGTTCTTCAGATATTCTTCCAAAGCCATTTTTTCTTCTTCAACCATCTGATGTACTTGTAGCATTCCACGCCCACCTATTTGCCTTGGTAGATAAGTCTGTCAATGTCACTGCGTGGATGAAGGGCATGATTCATTGTCATTATTTTTCTGGTCTGCCTATCCATTGCTTTTAGTTCTGCTTGAGTCCAGTCCA